GCCACTCGGACCGTTTATCCGCTCGGATCAAAGAGCGGCGCGAGCTCTCTAGAGCAGATGTGTTTACTCGGTCACGCAAGCATTAAGCAGCGCTGTGAGATCCAGTGTGAAGCACTTGTATTCAGCAATGAACACAAATGACTCGGTGATTAAACTAGTTTAAAGCCAAACAGCATAAACACTGTGTGCAACGAGACAGTCAGAAGGCTTTTCAATCTACACATCGCCATCATTTACCATGGTTTTACTGTAGTAACACTCACTGCACCATGGTATTGTGGCAGAAATTTGGGATATTCACACTGAATTTTATTAAAAGAATAATGTTATATACTTGTAGCATGTATTTGTGATTAAGTTATAGCATGTGTGCATTTATACTGAATGTTTTTAGACTAACGTTACTGTTTTTCATGCAAATAGGCTACCTAAAAACCATATAGTTATATTTTTAGCATGGTATTGAGGTGCTATATGTGTGGTTTTAACTATGTTTATCATGATTTAAATGTATGCTACTATGGGAGACCAATGCTTAATAAAAAAAAATTAAAAAACTTGGTCAGAATAAATTTAACCATATAAAACTGAGGTTGCATATCACTCATTAGAACTTGCAGAAACTAAGAAATACATTTTTCTATTTAGATATTTATTTTGTTAAGGAAAATTAATGGTCTGGTTTCTACAACTTTCACTATATCTATCTATATCTATCTATCTAGCTATATATATATATATATATATATATAATTTAGAGGAAGTCTCACCTGGTCTTTAAGCTGTTTGACGGAGTGCTGCAGGGTGAGGATGTGGCCGAACAGAGGGCTCTGCAGGGCTTCCTTCAGCGTGCCGAGCCTGTCACTGTGGGTCCACTCTTCCCTCTGCACGAGCTTGGACTGAAGTCTTTCCAAGGCCTGGAGCACCTGCTGCCGCTCAGAAGCAGACACTGAGAACACACACAATCCAGATATTAACAATGCCAAGACCGATTAAAGACATAGTATGCTTGCTTAGATGAAAATCACAAAAATGAGTGACACCTGTCGGTACGTTCTCATACATTGCCGTTATCTTGAAAATTCAGTGCAGATTGACCTGTGAAAGTAGAAGGAAATGGATATGTGAACACATTTAAGCTTCAATTTGATTTTAGAATTGATTAGTCAATAAAGACAAGTTACTAGTATTAATTTAATTGGGCTTTTTAAAATAATTATATGGAAAATGTATACATTAAAATTGCTCTTTTTGAGTGTAATTTCCATTAAAATATTATATAAATTGCAGAAATAATAATAATAATAATTATTATTATTATTATTATTTAATGGGTGACATGAATACTGTAACGTTTCATCAGGAAGTGCGTAGAAGATGTAGTGCCGACAAAAACAATCCGCATCTACCCCAACCAAAAACCGTGGATTAATAGCGATGTTCGAGCAGCCTTGTCAGCGCGGACATCTGCTTTTAAATCCGGACACGCTGACGATCGCAAACAAGCCAGTTACGATCTCAGGAAATCCATCAAAGCCGCAAAAAGACAATATAAAAACAAAGCTGAAGAACAATTCAACACTAACAATGCAAGAAGCATGTGGCAGTGCATCAATAACATAACAGACTTTAAAGGGAACAAACCAGCTACTGTGAACATTGCCGCCTCTCTACCGGATGAGCTTAATAACTTTTATGCTCGTTTCGAGGCTCACAACACCGCCCACACAGAGAGTGCTCCCGCGGCTGCTGCAGAAGAGGTGAGTGCACTCTCCGTCTCTGTCGCGGATGTAACCCGATCATTCCGACGGGTGAATATCCGCAAGGCTGCGGGTCCTGATGGCATCCCAGGCCGTGTGCTCCGAGCATGCGCATTCCAACTAGCCGGTGTTTTCACAGACATTTTCAACTTCTCCCTCTCTCTGTCTGTGGTTCCCTCGTGCTTCAAAAAATCCACCATTGTGCCCATACCAAAGAAAAATAAAATCACATGCTTGAATGACTGGAGGCCCGTTGCTCTTACACCCAGATGTGACAATAAAAGTGACTTTGACTTTGACTTTGAACCAAATAGTTAATGTTTCAAATTTGTTATGTAAAGAAATACACTGCCGATCAAAAGTTTGGGATCAGTAAGATTTTTTATGTTTTTTTAAAGGGGTCCTATTATGCTTTTTCACTTTTTCAACTTTAGCCAAGGCACACGAACTTAGAGTGGTTACATTCATCCGGGTTTAAATCGTGCTCAAATTTATTTGATATTGATGCAATATTTACACTGAAGCTTGCAGGTGGCTATGGTAAGGGGCGTGACATTTCCCGACCAGGCGCCGAGTGGAGCCAATCACAAAACACTGACCCAGCTGACCAATCACAGCACACACTGGCCCAGCTAACCAGTCACAAAAAATCAAGACTTTGTAAAAGAGCATAATAGGACCCGTTTAAATAAGTTTCTTATGCTCATCAAGATGCATCTATTCTATTTGATCAAAAATACAGAAAAAAAAAACTAATTTTGTGAAAAAATTATTGCAATTTAAAATAACAGTTTTCTATTTTAATATACTTTAAAATATAATGTATTCCTGTAAAGCTAATCTGGATCTGTGATAAATAAAAAGTTAAAAAGAACAGTGTTTATTCAAAATAGAAATTTTGCGTTACAATATACACTACTATTAAAAAGTTTGGGGTCAGTCAATTTTTTCTTTCTTTTTTTTTCTTTTCTTTTTTTTTTAAAGAAATTAATACTTTTATTCAGCAAGTATGTGTGAAATGGATAAAAAGTGATAGTAAAAAATTGCATTGTTAGAAAAGATTTCTTTTTAAATAAATGCTGTTCTTTTTAACTTTTTATTCATCAAATAATCAAAGAAATAAGCACCACAAGTAAAAAAAAAAATTTAAGCAGCACAACAGTTTCAACACTGATAATAAATCAGCATATTAGAATGATTTCTGAAGGATCATGTGACACTGAAGACTGAAGTAATGATGCTGAAAATACAGCTTTGATCACAGAAATAAATTATATTTTAAAGTATATTAAAATAGGAAACCATTATTAGAAATTGCAATAATATTTCACAATATTACTGATTTTCTGTGTTTTTGATTAAATAAATACAGCCTTGATGCGCATAAAAGACTCAGACGGCAGTGTATGTAAGAACAACAACAATAATAAAACTGTAATAATTGCTGTTATTATAATTATTGTCAGTAATAATTATAATCATTTAATGAGCTATATCAAACATTCAAAATTCAGTATAACTCACAATTAGACTTATCAAACAGAAATCAAAGTGATACTAATTTCCATGTTGTCCTTGACCTTTTTAAATTTCCACAAAAATGGGAACCATGCAAATGTTATAATACATAAATCATCAATGTTTCTCCCAAAGATGGTAGTAAATCTTAGTTTTACTAAATTTATGCTGACATCGTGCATTTGTTTTCATATGATCAAACAGAAATTACTCTAAGACTCAAGTATCGATTTCTATAACCTGTAACCATATCTTTCAAAAGATCATTTGGTAGTTTCTGTTCACATAAGCAGCCAAACAAAAGTGAGAGTATCTACCATACTTACCTACAATATTTATGTCCATACACTTGGTCTTGAAGTTAAATCAAAACTTGGAACCCCTCATAAAACACAATCCAGCATTTCAAGTGTTGTTTTGGGCTGAGATTGAGTCCTGTTTTGTCTGTTTACACCTGCGCGAGCCTCACCTGGAACCAGGAAGTGATCATTCACGTTTCGGCGAACTTTATTTTAGTTTAAACACAAAGAAACCATTATGCAACTGAAGAATAAAGGGGTGTTTATATTTCTACTCTTTAAATAAAGTATCATTTATAGAATGTCATAGAATATAAATTATACAAACGCAAACAAACAGGTGCATACGCGTAAAACACCGAGTCACCATTGAAATCAGTGCTCTTAAACTTATTGACAGTCTAAATAAATAAACGAATCATTTTATCAATCGAAACGTGCTTTGTTTTCAAATAGCAATAATAAACCATAACTTTGAAAAGAATGAAAATACAACCTCATACACAAACGTGCTCCTGCTTCCCAATACAAACGCTATTATGTGACACAAGCTAGCGCAGTTAGCCGGTTATAAAGTTGATTATCAGCATCAAAAACCGCGAATAAGTTGAACCGACACTTGTTTTTAAGTGCAAACTTTCTCTAACCAAACAATCTGCCTTTATTAAGTATATGCATAAAGTTAAAAGCGACAAATAACAGAATTACGAGAGACTGCATGCTATGTGTGCGGCGAATCTAGTGCACTGTTTCTTTAAGAGCTCCGGCAGTCACGTGACAGTTCAACATGGCGTTGCGCTGGAGGAGTTTGTTGCGCTTTCGGTCAACAACACGGCCGCTGATCATCTTCACCTTCTGCCTGACTGTCATCCACAGCCTGAGGGACGATGTGGACAGCTGTGATCAACTGCGGCTGGGACAATATCCTTTAAAAATCGCCTAAATATATTGGGATCGTTTAAATAGTAGCCGGCTAGCTAGCATTGCCGCTGTTATCCCTACTGGAAAAACCAGCTACACCAGCTCAGCACTGGTGCTTGTTTTTAATATAAATGTACTAATTTAACTTACAAGTCAGTATTTTACATAATTAGAGTACAAAAATTAGGTGTTGTGTTCTAGATTTGTGATTCAATCTTGTATGGAGTGATGCAGAAAGCTATACTCAATATGCCCTACATTGCATGACATTAGATTAGGTTTAGACCGGTTTGAACATTTCAGATGTGTTTTTATTACATAAATGTACAATTGATTACATTTCGATGTCCACTGATTGTCTTATGATGGCTCATGTCTGTCATTCATCCATCACTAGTGGAAATCTGTATCAGTTAATGTTGCTTTATGATATAAATACCACTTGATTTCTCCTTGACCGTGCTCAGGTATGTGTGTAAAGAACCCAAAATAGATGATGCAACTCAAGAACCAGAAAACTGCAAGGACCGGTTGGCTTGGGGTGGGTCGGCTGATATATACTTTTATTATTTTATTTATATATTTCATTATATTAACATTTCTGTATATTTCATTTTTTATTTACGTTTCATAAAAATATATGTCTATAATGCCAGAATATGCCTGATACTAGCTACATGTCACTACATGACTATTAAATCAGGAGTCTAAGGCTGAGTTTCATTGCAGTGGAATGTCTACCTGCTCCAAACATCAGCTGTCGGCTGTCAAATGGAACGCAGTTCAAATTCAGTGGTGAAGAGGTTGGGTTTAACAAAAGCATCCCGTGTCGAAATGTGTAAGTCAAACTTACTTTGAATTTGAGTATAGATGATTCATATTTGCGAATAATCTGTAAATATATTTGAATAACATGGATGTGTTTTGTTTTACATTAGGAGTGGTTACTCATACAAAGTAGCTGTTGCGCTGTCACTCTTCCTGGGATGGATTGGGGTGGATCGGTTCTACTTGGGATATCCAGCCTTGGGTAAGACAGTACTACTTGACTTTTATTGTTGGTATTTTGGTCCATTCTTTATAGACACTGTGAGATTTAATGATAGGAAAGTGAAATCTGCAAATGTTGCAAACCAGATTCGAACTTGGCTAAATGTGTAGGCCACTAGGCCATGGATCCAACGTTGCATTTTTCCCTCTTTGGCTGTGTGCCGTAGCCCGAAATCTCCTCTTTCTGGCACCCATTTACCCATCAATAACTCATGAAAATATCTCATGCTTGTGCTGCGCTGAACCACAGGGGACCTTTAGAACAGACAGAATCAGTCCTGGATATTCTGCTGTTGACATCATCTCTTGTTTCCTTTCCAAGGACACACCTTTTCACCAGATGTTCTCAGAATAAGAATCACACAGACTGATTTTTCTTGCACTTGTTGATTTAAAAAGGCAGATATGGACATTTCAGCACTGACATGGAAATTTGATCTGATACCAATAATTATTATGGATATATTCTGATCGTTATTATGATTATGATATGACAGTAACCGATATAATTGTAGATTAGTGTTTTTTTCTTAATGCCCAATCCTGGTAACAAAATCTAGAGAGCAGGGTGGCATATATAATCTCGATTATGATTTATTTATTTACTTTATTTTATTTTACAGTTTAACAATAAGAAAAAAAAAGAAGTATGTAAAATTACAGACTTCAAGGAAGCACTTATTTTTACAAAATTCACTAAAACAATCTGTTATTTTAGGATTATTTATATACTGTACTATTATTTTTTTTAATTTTGTATTAGCTTTTATATTTTCAGTTTGCAATTCAATTTGCTTAATTTTTTAGTATTTTTTGTGCTTTTGTCATTTTTATTAGTTTTTTTTTTTTAATTCTAAATTGATTTAATTTTTAGTTTTAGTTTTATTTCAGTTAGTAATTATAGTACTTATCAGTTATTTGCCAAGGCAGCATTTCTATGCTAAACTTTTAGTTTAGTTTACATTTTTCATCTAATATTTTATTTCAGCTTTATTTGAATTAACAAAAATGTTTTTTTTTCTTAATAGTTTTAGTTAATAATAACAACACTGATCTTTTTTTTTTTTTTACTACAATGCAATAAATAATTACCATATTATATTAGTGAGAATCAGCTTAGGGAATAATGTGAATTATATATATAAAAAAAATGTAACTTAAGAATTAAAACATCCATAAATTAGGGGGGATTTTCAGGGCAAAATGTATTTAATTGTAATAAAAAATAATGCCTAAAAAAAAGAGAGACTTTGTCAGCAATATAAAAAAAAAATGCTTTTGAATTTACGTAGAAATGTGACCAGGGGCCTGTTTCATAAAACAAGTTTACCAAATAAGCCAGGTTTATTTCAGTTTGTCTGACTTATTGTCCATTGATTTGATTCAAAATAAGTCAGACTAACTGAAATAAGCCTGGCTTATTTGGTAAACTTGTTTTATGAAACAGGCCCCTGGTCATGTTTTAAACAGGTTTTGTGGGAGTCCCTCCATCAGCCATGGATTTAAAGCCAAAAAAAAAAACATTGATTAAAGACTGGGTATTAAAGTGTTTTTCTGGCCTTTCTGTTAGTTCGAAGAACTCTAGACCTTCCCCTTTGACAACAATATTAACAATCCCCACCAGATCCACGCCTATTTTGAAAATAAACCCCTGAGAGAAATCGCAGCGCACACTGATGTCATGAAACGGTTTTGTAGAGCTTTTAAGAAAAGGTACATGCTGTTCACACATGAGGCCAAGAGTATCAGTCCTTACAGAGCTGTAGAACACGTGCTGCTTTCAGAACATGTGAGAAACCCACCGATGACCCTTTTTAGAACACCTTGCTCTTTTTTGGCACCAGCTGTTTTAACAAAACGAATCAGCATGCGACAACTAATTAACTAAAACAGTTCTCTCCTTTACCATCAGATCTCATGGTGTTCGTCTATCCCATAGTGCAATTATTGTCATCACATGCAGATGAGTTCAAGCCGTACATCTAAATCCCAAGGCGGAATACAGCGGGAAGCTCCGTCTTTCTGCCTCTCTCCATGTTTTAAGGACTTCCTGATCAATTAAGCACCTGCTTTAGGACAAAAGGGCCTGGGCGTTTGAAGGTCCCCCTTGTTCCCGGCTTCTTTGTGAAAGGCAGGCTCACACCATGCTGGAGTCAGTTGTATAGACGTGTTCATTGAGAGCGTAATGGCCCAGCAGCTCTGAGGTCAGTCCAGACCAGGTGTGACTCAAAGAAAGGCCTGGACTTGTTGAGAAGACATTCTGCAGGTGGCTTTTTTGATATCCGTCCTGGAATCAACATGCTAAACCCCTCAATGACCAATTATAAGAAATATTAGAGATGATTAGCAGCAATTATGTTTGAATCGCAGGATGGAAAGGTTTTTTTAATTGACTGCAGATCTCATGGGCTCCTGATGGTGTTTTCAAATGGATATCCAAAATAGGCCTACTTAAATTTAAACCAAAATTTTTTATTTTGTGGCAATTATGCGTGGATATTATAAACCTTAACTTGGCTCATGAATATTAATTGAGTGACATACCATCCTACCTTACCAATTAAGTCTTAAATGCACAAAATCTTCTAAATTCTTCACACAGAAAGAAGCCAGTTGTATGAATTTGTAATTTGACCTTACAACCTTGCACAGTGGTTTGAAAACTTCAACAGCAGTCTGCACTAAAAACCACAACGAATAGCTTTGCCCTCAAAATTGTTTTTGTTTGGGGTCATACAGAGAAGCCAGAGAGAAAGTGTTTTTGGATACAAACTGGTTATGACGGGAGGCTTTTAGTACAGTATGTTCTTGGTTAACATGTGGATCACTTTTTGTTTGTTTTCAGGCCTACTGAAATTCTGCACTGTGGGGTTCTGTGGAATTGGAAGCTTAGTGGACTTCATGTTGATATCCATGCAGGTAAGACTTTTGACCCATTTATTGATGCATGCATTTCCTTCTGCTTTTTTCTCAAAGGTTGATCCATTTTGTTATTTTATTTTGGTTACTGATGCCTAACATATTAGTCATTCGGGTTTTTGTTTTGTTTTATGCCCCACATTTTCTTTCCGATTGGCTGTAATTGTGTCGCTTCACATTGTATTTTGCTTTCACCAAGGATAGAAAGTATATTTGATTTTGGAAATGTGCTTTTTTTATTTTATTTGGTTACATATTTTATTCATTTATTATTTAGGAATTATTTTATATTTATTTTTTTTAAAGAAATTAAATTTTTTCTTAAGGAAAATATTGTAAGATTTATTGCATAATAACATACAAAACACATTTTATTTATAAAATAACTATATATTTTTTTTAGAATTGTATAACTATGTTTTAATATTCCTTATTACGATTATCTACCAATACTGAGATTTTGGGGGAAGGTTGTTTAACAGATGTATAAGTAATGTCATTTGGGGGGGGGTGATATGACAGGAAGCGAGTGGGATGGGATCGGGAAAGTTCCACAAGGCGGGATTCGAACTTGGGATACCCGAAGCGCAACTGTGCGCAATTCTCCCTCTTAACAAACTATTAACTACGCCTTTTGCCTCAAACTCATGATTTGCTTCTTATTAAGTTGAGGATTAAGATATCTAAAATATGATCATGCAGAATAAGGCATTAATATATGCTTTATAAGTACTAATAAACAGCCAATATGCTAGTAATATGCATGCTAGTAAGCAACTAGTTAATAGTGAGAATTGGTCCCTAAACTAAAGTGTTACCT